GATTTGGCAGGAAAACACCTCTCCATTTTCCTTTGCTGACTTGTCAGGGCTCTGATTTATCTATTTGTTTATTTCTCCCTGGCTGAAGCTTGCTATTAATTATGGTTTGGATGGGACCTTCTCCTTTTAATGTGCTAAATTCCCTCAGTGGTTTCCAGCTGCTGGACAGAAGAGGTACCAGGTCTTTCTGGGAGTGATGTCTGCCCTTCTCAATAATTGCCTGCACTTGGTGACTTGCTGTACCTCTTGGCAGAAGCTTTAATCCTTCAATTAATATCACTTCCAGGCAAGGCTGGTTCCCTCAGGAGCAAACCCAGCCAACTGCTGGGGGTTGAACTGTACCTCCCACCCATCCCCAACATAGATCCTATGGTGAAATGGAGCTGCTTCTTTAAAAAGCGGCTTTCCGAGTGATACTGCAGTCCAAAGCACCTCCTAAGAGTGCTCACCTTCTGCTTACCCCGCTGTTCTCCTCCCCTTGATATCTGGAGTAATTCTGCTCCCAGATGGACTTCCCTCTCCACCAGCCCTGCTCATTGCACAAGAGGCATTAATCCAGGGTGGACCTTTGTGTCTTGCATCAATAGGCAGGCAGAATCACAGAATCACACAACGGTTGAGGTTGGAAGGGACCTCTGGAGGTCACCTACTCCAACCCCCTCTGCTCCAGCAGTGTCAGCTACTGGGGGTTGTATCAGACCATGTCCAGGCATCACGAGCTGAAGCAGAACCATCCTTTAGGGACAAGGAGGCTGAGGGCTGGAAGCAGCAGTGCACATTCTTTTCCAGCCACCCTTCCACCCTCTACAGATGGTTCTGACTCAAAGCCGGGCATAGTCTGAGGTTGAAAAGGACATCTCAGTGTCAACATCTCAGTGTCTTCATCCTCAGTACCTGCAGCAGCATCACACGGGCATGTGCATGTGGAGAGGGTTAGATGAGCACACCAAGACCTGCTGGAGGATGGACTGGGTGGTGTCACATGCCATAAGAGAAACAACAGTTGGAAATTGCAGGTGGACATGGTTCCTGTGTCAGTGTAAGATAGCCAAGCCTAGCCAAGGGAGCATGTGAGCAAGAAAGAAATTACATATGACTTGTCCAAGGTATGAGGTGGACGAGCCTGGCTGGGAGGTTCATTCCATCCCTTAATTTCCTCTGTGTCTTTTTCTTTCCTTATTGCTGCAGGAAGCTGCTGAAATCTACCCTCGTCCTCATGCCTCTGTTTGGCGTTCACTATATTGTTTTCATGGCTATGCCATACACAGACGTGTCAGGGATTCTTTGGCAAGTTCAAATGCACTATGAAATGCTGTTCAACTCTTTCCAGGTATTGTAACTGTTAACCTATGGGGGCAAACTCTGGGAATTTCAATGGGGAGAGGAGGGAAATGAGAGTGCATTGTCTTTGGAAGCAGGCTTGTTTTTACGATACATCAGATTTCATTCACCTGGTGGTTTGACAGTATTTTAGCATCATGTATGTTTTATATTTCCAAAACACAATGTATAAAGGCTTGATGTGTCCAACAAAAAAATGTTTCTGTTGCAAGACAACTTGCCCAAAAAATAAATCCTTTTAGATTCAGGTTAGATATAATTTGTTGGAGATCCACCAAGACATGTTGTTTCATGTTAGCTTCCAATTTGTTTGTCCCAAGTTGTCTTTCAGTTCTGTGAAAGGATCCCTCCGTTCCAGATTTGGGCTAAAGGCACATCCAGTTACAGAACTGGTCCTATAGAAGACACAGCAGCAAAAATATGCAACTCAGTACAAGCAGAGCAGTGTTTGATAGTCGCTGCACACCCTTCTCTTGTGAGATTGACTTTTGGCTCACGTGCTGGGCTATCGTCATGATTGACCTGCTTGGATGATGAGAGGTGGACAGGGGGTCTGGCCAGATGACAGTTTAGAGAAACTCTGAGGGAAGTGGGGACCAAGCTTGCATTTGTGTGCTTCCACAATTCCTGAAGATGGGATAAAATAGTGGGTGACCTTAGCAAGACCTGGGTAATCTGTTGGCCAACAAAAAGACGTGGGTGGTGTGCTCACATCTGAATTCCTGTGCTGACCCCACTCAGACAGTTCTGCTCCATGCACAGCCTGCCCCACTTACAGCCAGAGATGGAAAAGTCCCATCAGGACCATCTTCCACCCTCTTGTCCTGCAGCAGAATCAGCTACATGTGAAAAATTGGAAACATTTATGCAATAAATTCATAAACACTTCCAGCAAGGTAGACCCCACCACCCTTGCAGGGACCCATCACCATCTCAGAACCTTTGCAAAAGATCTGGGGGTGAAAATAGACTTATCATGTAAACCACAACCCAGAGAGCTTATAGTCTTTCTACTTTGTCAATAGTCTGCAGGGAAATGTCTGTGTTTATCACTCTCACAAGCAATGTTTCTTACGCATAATTTATACAGCATATTATGAATGTCATGGGTTTCAGAAGAACATAGGGATGCTGGGCAGTGCGATCAGGAAAGAAATACTCAAATGTAGCAAGATTAACATTAATAAATAATTTCTTCTTCCTTCTAGGGATTTTTTGTTGCCATCATATACTGTTTTTGCAATGGAGAGGTAAGTCACCAGCTTCTTAATTATTTCTCTCCTTTGTTAGGTTAGGTCTACACACAGGGCAAAGTGGATGCATATCAGCATATCCTCACTTATTCTAGAGATTCAGCACTTTTGCACTCAGTGAAGGATTTGTCAGTCCACATAGAAAGTTCATACCCTTGGTTTTGGTCATGTAAAACATCCAGGTTAATACATCACTAATAAATGAGCTACTGGAAGTAGCCAGAGAAGGGGAAAAAAAGTGTTTTTTCTCTTCTTTTCCCAGCATAAGTGCTGTTAAATGCTGCTTAATCTCAAATCTGTGGCATTGGATTGATAGAGCAGCTGCCTAACCAGAAAGCTCTTTTGATTGCCCAGACTTTTTTGACTTCTTTTTTTTCCTATTTCCAGAGTGATATGCTTTCATGTCTTTGTTTCCATTAATTCCCTCTATGGCTGCAAACTAAGAAACTAGATGGTCAGTGAATGCTCATTGGGAAAGAACAGAACTATTTTTGGCTTGGCATAAGGCTGGTTTGGCCTAAGTTTATGGATTTTAAGGAGAAATGCAAATACAAATATGCTGCTTTTACAGCATAAAACCAAGATAAAATCCATACCATAAGGGGAACTGATCTCATCCTAACTTTAGTCATCTAAAAGTGGGATATTCAGCTTAAAGTAGCCAGCTAACCCCTTTCTAGGGGAAATTTCTAGTGACTCAGGTACCTCGGAAGGTGGTTAATCCCACTTCTACTTGACACTCATGGTACGTTGAGAGGACTCTCTCCTGGATGTGCTGCTCACCATCCCTCAACCCTGGCAGAGAGTTAATCCACATTTTCAGACAGATGTTTTCAGCCATTCAAGCTTCCCAATGCCAAATATTTCATCTGGAAAGGGCAGATTTAATGTGAATTTAGTGTTCCTGCCAATTTCACTCCCCATAGAGCTTCTCGCCCATTCTGTCTGGGGATACTACCTTCTTCTGCTCCTCTCTCCTCCCACTCATGGTTTGTTTTGGTTTTTTTCCCCCTTGTCTCTCAGGTCCAAGCAGAAATAAAGAAGTCATGGAGCAGGTGGACATTAGCACTTGACTTTAAAAGGAAAGCACGAAGTGGGAGCACAACCTACAGTTATGGACCAATGGTTTCCCACACCAGCATCACAAATGTAGCCACAAGAGGAGCACTTGCTCTCCATCTCAATACGAGACTTATACCAGGGACCCTCAATGGACACCGGAATTTGCCAGGTTATGTAAAAAATGGCTCCATTTCTGAAAACTCCATGCCTTCTTCTGGACCAGAGCAGTACAACAAAGACGAGGAGTATCTGAATGGCTCTGGGCTTTACGATGGAGACAGACCCACAGTACTTGTTGAAGAAGAAAGAGAGACAGTGATGTAAAGAGAGAAGGAGAAGGAAAAAAAAGAGAAGCAAAAGGATGAAAAAGGTTCCTGGAGAGCATTTAGTGGGTGAAAGAATATCAGGCCACGCATCGGATGCCAAGGGTTTCCATACCGTTTCTCTGTTCTGTGGAACGAGAGGTTAAAAAAAAAAAAAAGTGAGCCATCGACGTGGCCAGCTGTCGATCACATCCATATACCCAGTGGTCTGAGTCTCCCTGGTGTTGACGGAGGCAGGGCTATCCAGACCCACAGGCTTTGCTACCTGCTGAAAAACCGAGATACTGCGAGTTCGCGAGGGAGGGTTGCAACGTGGTCCTTGGACCTCTTGGAGAGCGTGGGGCAGCCAAGGAGGACAAGAGTCTCACCCAGGAAAGCAAGAGTCTTGCGGGGAGTGTACAGTGCCATCTTCTTGTGAGGGTACAAGCCACCCTGGGCATCGGTGTCTTCAGTTTGGTTTGCTCTTCCCCGGTAAAGTCTGCCTGGTAACACACACAACACCCACCAAGACCCTTTGGGGGGTCATAGCTGCCCGATCTTGCAGTCAAGCGTTCAACACGGACAGCTTGGTCCATGCATGTTCTTCCCTTGGATAATCTCATTCTTTGACAAAACGCTCCTCTGGGATGGGAAGGGTTAACAGCTCATGGTTGCTGGATGCAGACAGAAAGCACTATTCTCCTTTCCCTGACCTGGGTCCCAGTAGCAAGCCAGAAACCAGTGCCATTTTAGGGATGGAAAATGTGGTTATCAGAATGTGCAATGTTTTTGTTCTTCCAGATGCAGCGGTGGAGAGGGGCCCACCAAGCGGGTTGAGGCAGGGCGAGGAATTCGCAGACCTTGGGTATGTGTGTGGCTAAAATCAGTTCAGAGGGTAGCTAACTCAGCCCTCCTTTTTTTGTGGGTGCCCATGGAAACAGGCTTCAATCATTTTTGAAACCTCTAAATTGCTTCTCATTCTGCCCTCTAAATTTCCTGTTTCTCACTGGTCCAAACCCTCATGAAGAGAAAGACTCCATCAGCAGCCTGCCTGTATCATCCAGAAGCACGAGCTGCTGGATACAGCCAGACAAACCCACCTTCATGAGATCCCAAGCCAAAATTTGCTGGATAAAAGCTTGTGGTTCGTCACCTTCTGAACATCATCTGAACTTTCCTATTCTCGTGTTTTGGTCCCACACAGATATGTACCCCAGGTCAGACCCTTAGCTGGTGCAAACAAGTCTAACTCCAAGTCACTCAGTTTGCCTAGAGATGCTTAGATGAGGAAATGCTATTGTGGTTGTCTCCAAAGGGAAGAGCACAAGGAAATGTCTCCTTCCTACAGGAGAGAGAGAGCAGGAAGATTTTGTCACTGTGCAGAGTTTCCCTTGCTGGTGCTTTTTTTGCAGGATGGGCCAAAAAGTTTTCTAACGCACGACATCCCTGAAGAGGTACAGAGTCCTTGTTGGCCAACAGTGCATTGTGTTGGGGCTGTTTCACACCAGCTGATCACCCACCAAAGGGTCTCTGCCAGTTTCGAAGCATGATACAGAATCACCCAGAAGTGGGAATTTAGGAACAGTGACCAAATTTCCTATTGCAGCTCCCCCAAAGGAAGGACTCTGGCTGAGCCAGCCTGGAGCCTCTCCTCAAACCCTGTCATGACAACTCTTCCCTTGCTGCAGTCTAAGAGTCAGCTTCTCATGGTGCTTTTTTTTTCTTATTTCTTTTTTTTTCCCCTTTTTGGCAAGTTTCTAGACCTGAAGTATTTTGACCTCACCTGGCTGTTCCTCAGATGGAATAGGCAAGAGGTGTTGGGCAAGTTTGCAGAAGTTCTTTAGGATGCAGGTGGGACCAGTGGGACAATCTACTCTCTACCTTGATCCTTTAGATCCAGCTGCTGGGTCACATCAACCAGCACTTCTGAGATGCATCCAGTTGATGCAACCGGTTGGTTTTCTGAGGGCAAATTAAGGGCTAACTTCCCCAAAACTTTGAAGGAGGTCAGGAAGAGCAGCTGGGATCTTGACTCTGCGTCCCACATCTTCTTTAAAAAACCTCTCAGGTTAGGGCCTGATCCAAATCCCAGTGAAGTCAAGGAAAAAACCTTCAACATCTCTGAGTTTTGGATTCAGACGTTATAGGGGAGGTGGTGGCTGAGAGACAGTTGAAGCATCTGTCCACCAGTTGCAGTCATACATGAGCAGGTCTTTAAAAGCCAGTATTTATTTGTGATGTTCTTTTCTTGTTTTGCATCATTAAAATAAGTCAAAACTCATCATAACCATTCCCCACCAAATGGCAGCTACTGAAATGTAAGTTTTTTAAAGAATAATCTGTTTTCACGCTCTCTTGTTATTCATGTAACAATACTAACAACAGTATTGCAGACAAATTGAGAAATCTTGCAAGAGAAGTCAACTCTAGTGAAAGTTTGGCATGGAGAGCTAACCAGCTCTGCAGAAATCTGGGTCAGCCCAGCTACACTCACTGCTCGCCTTTCCCTCATGGATGATGGTGTGGCTTCTGGAGTCAACCAAAGGAGGCAAAAGTTATTAATGTGCTGGCTCTGGCTTTCCAGAGTGCTTAAATCCTGCCAAGTAGATGCAATGACCCTCCTGATTTTCTCACTCAAAGATATTTCTTAATATCGTTTCACTGCTGGAACAAAAAAAAAAAAAATAAATCCACCAGTGACTCACTGTTTGCTTGTGTTTGTTACTGAGAACGTGAGATTAATAACATGTTTGACAATCACTTAGCAAAATTCAAGGAATTAGCAAAAGCCATAAAATTATTTCTAAACAAATACAGCACCCCTCACTGAAATGATTAATCACTGGATTATTTAGAATAAATGCCTAAAAGCTGTTGTTAAACATAGATAAAAATTACACACACAAGGGATGTCCAGGGGAGGAAATCTTTTCTTAATCCCTTCAGTTACAAATCATGCGTAATAGATTTTTTTTTTTTCTGGTCATTGATGTGCATGAACAATATCCATACAAAAAATGTGAAAATGCTGATACCAAAACAGGGGAATAACTCTGCCCTTAAGGCACAGCATGCTGTATGTTTGCCAAAGTCTATTCCTGTCTTTCCTGGGCTGATCAAAAACTCTTGATTGAGTGTATAGACCTAGAGACCCAAGGACATCCTCCACTGATTTTAGTGAGGAAGGGATCAGATTTATGAAGTCTAAAAACAGAGGAGAAACCCCAATTTGTGGTTGCAGTTTGCCTTGGAAGGGCAAGCAGAGTGGTCCTGCTGGTGCTTAGCCAAAGCCTCTAGACTCAGAGAGGGGTCCCCTTTGCTTCCTCCATCACCATGAGATGTGGGCGCTTCTCAAGGACGATTTACCCTCATCCAAAGGTCTGAGTCCACCTGGGGAGAGAGTTCCTCTCCTGTCTGATTCAGTCATGCAAACATAGCCCCAAAGACCACAGAAAACAGAAACATGGTGAGGTGAGGATGCATTTGTCCGCGTTTCATCTAGCAACCGCTGCAAACTTTGCAGGCAGGAGAGGGTTTGTGTCCATCCTGGTTCAGGTCCATGAGTGTCCTCTTCTCCAGAACCACAGAGATGTTGCTCTTGGGCAGGGAATCTCACCCCCCAGCAGGTTCATCCCATCATACCAACCCAGCACCTCCTCTGTTCCCATCCACAGCAGTGCAGTCTACTTTTCTTCATGAGTCCTTCCAACCTGATCTACCTCTTTTCTGGATGGACACTGAGCTGTTAGATGTTCCTCAGCCTTGTGTCTCTTCAGGATGACTTTTGGCAGCAGCCTTGTCATTTCTGCTCTGCCTGGATGTGTGCAGAGGAGTGTTTTTACACCTTCTGTACACTGCTTGGTCTTGGTTCGGATGAGATCATGTCTTGTCCTCTTCCTCACCATTCCTCGACTCTGCTTCTTGTCTGATACACATCAGAGCCAAGTCAGCTCACAAAGATCTCCCAAAATCCATCTCTTCAGCCAGGGGTTGACTTCATTTATCTGTATATGTGCAGTTGGATGAAAATCATAGAACATCCAGAGTGCTGGTAAGAATTTTCAATGTTTTAAACTGTGAAAATACATTAAGAGGGAAGATCTCTGATTTTTAATCTTGTCTATTGTTTTGACAAACTCAATGGCCGACTGAAGTTGTTCAGTTTCAGAATCCGATATCTTAAATTAAGTTCCAGTTACAGGTTGGGTTCTCTTGCTTTTTCACTGACTGATTTTTCTGCACCCCTTCCATGCTTCAAGCAGAATAAGTGACGATGAGGAGAGCGATCAGTACATCCCTTAGCTCATCTGAATCTCTCACCAGGGTCAATGACTCTTTCACCTGAGATAGGACTGCGTGAAATGAGAGAAAGCACTTTAAGAGTTGACCTTTAAGGGAGAGGTTGTACCAACCTGTGAAGTCTTTCCATGTGCAAGGTTGCATTTTATCAGTGTACGTGCTTTTTTTCACCTGTTAGTGCCCATGAGTTTGCTGAAGACCAGTCTGTGCCTTGTCCCGGAAAGTTATGTGGCAGTAGCGTCGTTCACATCCTCTCTTTCTGGCCTTATCTGAATTTTGTGACATTTTAGCAGTAAAAGGAAGCAAAATGAAAAAAAAAAAATATCTGGGGCTGGAATAGGTTTGCTATTTGATTTTTTTTTTTTGTTATTATTCTTATTTTTACTGCTATTGCTGATGTTCTGCAGAGTCAACAGAGGACATCTATGATATCCCTGGCCAGCTACAGAGATTTTAAACATCCAGTGTGATTCTCCAGACAGATGAGATTTTTACATCCTCTTCCTCTAGGGTGTCTTGAAATGAGAAAAAAAAATATTAAATTCTAAAGGAAATGAGTTTGTGAAAGACCCTATAAATAAATTTCCATCACGGTTGGCCATGGCTGTCTGGATTTGCCTGGAAAACATATAAGTTCATAAATTGTATAAGTAAAATACAGAGCATATACATCTCTGCAGACAATATCGTTGGAAGAGAGTTCTCTGGGTTTTGCCCATGGGAGTGAAAGGTTGAACCTCCTGGACAGCAAATACGGTTGGCCAAAGAAACACTTTGTTTTGGGACAGAAAATCCTGCCATCAGTTTAAATATTACTGGACTTATTCTGTTCCACCCAAACTATTTTTGTGGCTTCTCATAAAATCAA